AATGAGACCCTAAAAATAAAAAATAAAAACAAAAATTTTAAATACTATTTCAGTCTTTCTATTTCTAAATTTCGATTTTAATTCAGTGTGTCAGTTGCGGTCTCTTTGTAATTATTTGTGAAATTTATTAGAAATTCTAAATACCAAAAAGAGGAATTCCTAAAAACTAAAAGAGAAATTATTTAATTTTATTCACTACGTTATCAAAAAAAAAAAAAGTGCTTACCACATTATTAGCTATTTAAAAAAAATCATTCAATGATGATATTTTCCCATTACCACATATAGTATTGCTTTTAGCGTGATGGATGACGTTGGTGGTGCCGCCCAGTCGTAATCACAGCTCCTCGGGATTGGCTTGTTTGAGGACTCAGAGCTACAGAGATAATGAAACAATAAGCTGTAATAACCTAATCTCAGCTGCTTGACCCGCTGATGCTAGAACTGGAAAAGGCAGTGGGTCTATATTTGTGATTAATTGTTATGAGCGCTTGCCCCGTCCTTGACCCCGAGCCCGAAACACGCGTCGCCATGGCAACAGAGGAGAGCGTGGATGCGGATGCGTTCCCTGGAGACACAGCATCATGTGAATGTGTCACTGAGTGCCGTTCACATCCAATAATATCATTTTCACCTCAGTTATTGGCTTGGTCACTTAAAAAGAAAATGTAAAACCTGAAATAACCGGGGGAACAAACTTTTAGAGATTCCTGTGTGTAGACAGAAATGGTAAAAGATTTTTTTAAATGGTGCCATTACTTGTTTTTAGTCTTATAGAAGGCTTTAGTACTTGTGCGTATATACATATATATATATATAAGAATTAAATATAAAAAAATTAATAATTTAATTTATAATTTAATTATAATTAATTCATCTTCATTAAAATTTATTACTAAAAAAGCACAACAATAAACCTACAAGAATATTTTACACTTTTACATATTTTATTAAATTTTATTGTAAATATAATAACTAATACATTTATTCATAATTATATTAATTATTTATTATATATAATATATTTATATTTTGTTTATTTGTCCTCTTATAATGTTAGTCAATGTCTCTTCCACCAAAAACAACCAAAACATTTTAAATTAATACTTTTATTCATCAAGGATGCATTAAATTAATAAAAAGTGACTGTAAAGACATTTATAATGTTACAAAACATTTCTATTTCACATAAATGCTGAGCTTTTGAAAGAAGATGAAAAGATTTTGAAGAAAATTTTAACAAAAAATAATCAAAGAATCCTGAGAAGAAGAAAAAAATCAGTAAAAAAATCCAGCTTTGCATCACAGGAATAAACCACATTTTAAATGAAATTACAATAGAACAGTTCTTTTAAATTCTAATAATATTTTACTGATTTAACAGATCAAATAAATGCAGTTTCTTTCAAAAAACAAACAAACAAAAAACATAAAGAACTGGACTGGGCATGAAGTTTTCAGTTCTTACAGTCAAGCAAATTCACTAAACACTTTTTGACTTTTGTGCTTACAGTATTTACATTATTTACCAACCACCCACAAGCCTGATTAGCACAGTTCGTTCAGTGAATCATGAGTCAAATAAACAGCATGCTTCATTGTTAGTGATTCCCTCCAGCCAACTTTCATATCACAATCAACTCTTTTGTTAGAAAATATCAAAGCACTTTCTCATGATACTTAAAGTTTACATCTTTCATATTCATGTTGTTCGGCTCATGATGTTGTCACTGTAAATCATAATCACGGTTTCTTCCACTTAAATCTTAAAGGATTCGCCATCAGCTCAACAAAAAGATGTTTATGCCTCTTACGGCAGCATTTAAAGGGACAGTTCACCCAAAAATATAAATGATGTCAATTACTCACCCTCAAGTTTTTACACACCTATACGAGTTTTTTTTTCTTCAGTTGAACACAAGAAAATATATTTTGGAGACTGTTGGTAACCAAAACGTTGCTGGTAGCCATTGACTTCCATAGTATTTGTTTCCCCTCCTATGGAAGTCAATGGCTACCGTCAACTGTTTGGTTTCCAACATTCTTCAAAATGTCACACACGAAAAAAAACTCAGACAGGTTTGTAAAAGCTTGAGGGTGAGTAAATGATGACAGAATTGTAATTTTTGGGTGAACTGTCTCTTTAAACACCTGCATTTCTGTCGAAATCCCAGCGGTTTCAGATGAATCTCAGTGAGCCGTGCCGTGATAAAGTGCTTATTTCTCGTTGGCCTTTATGGCTTTATTTCTCGAGCTTTAACAGGCCGCTTGTCCTTGAACCGGATGTCTCAGAGACGTCAGATGGAGCCGCTGCCAGTAAGTCACGGGTGTATTGGGATGTTAAAAACTTTAAATTTAACCCCCCAAAATTAAATTGTAAAAGCAATCAAAATAAAACACTTACTACAAAAGATAAACTATTATACATTTATTTTAATATTTGTTATTTATTTTAATATTTTATGCATGCCATGTGACCATTAACTGAGAACCAAATGTGCAAATGTGTTGTTAAATTATTAAAAATATTAACTTCAGGATGACTTAAAATATGAATACTTAAATTTGTTTACAAATAATATAAATGTGTTTGGTTGACAAATAAGTTTGAATCCCTGTATTATACACTGTGTGTGAATTTCTCTTGTTATTTTGCTAAATAATTGTGCAGCATTCGTCCCCATTCACTTTCATTGTATAGAAAATAGTCCCTGTGACCATCTGCGAAAAATCCTCTTTTATGTGCCACGGAAGAACTAAAGCCATTCAGATTTAAAAAATATATTTTTTGATTTTTAAACATTTTTATAAAAAATTTTTGGTGAACTATTCCTTTAAAGGAGCAAAAAGCACATCGTTTGGGTTGTTTGACGTTTTAATTTTCTCCCTTTTTTGTCTTTCAGTTGTTTTTATGCACATAACTGTAATCTGATTCTGCAGGTTGCTAACTGAATTTATAAAAGTAGGCAATCTGCAAGCTCTCCGAACGTTCAGGGTCCTCCGCGCTTTGAAAACTATTTCCGTAATCCCAGGTAAGCGGTTCCTGAAGCCGTGCGCAAGTGTTGCTCACTGTCCAGTCCAACAGCTCAGGATTTGACCCGCATCCGATTCTTCCCGCGCTGTGTTCTCCAGTTCATCTCTTTCCCAGCAACTTCCCGACATCCTGCTTCATTCACCACTGTGTTGTTTGCCTGTTGTTGGGGTTGTTGTCATTGTCTGTGCTCCAATTCTCGCTTATTGCAGATATGTTACTGAGTTTGTGGACCTGGGCAATGTCTCAGCGTTACGGACATTCAGGGTTCTGCGAGCACTGAAAACTATCTCAGTCATCCCAGGTGAGAGGCCGCCAAACGCCAAGGCCTGCGGTGCTAGTGGATGACCAAATGACCCAAACACATTTCCGGCACTTCCAATACACTCTTGGAAACACGGAAATGCAGAATGTAGGAAATGAGACTTTTGAGTTGGGCAACATGACGATTAGACAGCAAATCAAAGTCAAAGAGCTTCCCTGCTGAGAAAAAAACAGCCTGTTTGCCCAGCTAACAAAAAAGATGTTCTAAAAACATCACCGTTTGAAAGCATTATTTCTAAGCGTTCCGTTTTCTTGGTTATGTGAACGTTTCAGAAACATTCCATTTGCGAACGTCATAGGAATGTTACATTTGAATGTTCTCGGGAACATTCTAAAAGTTGTTACATTTGAAAAACGTCCAGCTTAAGCGTTTCACGAAGGTTCCATGAACGATGTACGAATAATGTTTTTGTTCTCATGCTTTGGGAACATTGTTTATATCCAGATAAAATTACCGGTAGAACGTTTGTTCGTCACTTTGACGTTTGAACGTTCTGAGGACGTTCCCTGTTAGCTGGGTAGCCGGTTTGTGTGGCCAAAACCGCTCTAAAACCTGTGCTGTGGAAACCGTTCCGGCTTGTTTTTCAGCAGGTTTAAATTATATTCATCTCAATGGTCCAAGTAACTACCATTGAGTGTGCAACAGTCTGGTCCCCGAAGTAAATTTCCATTCATTTTCTCCTATCTATCTATTCATAAACCGCTAAAGACAGACCTACTGTGATCTACGACGGCTACGAAGCCATCCGTTCGCATTATTTCAATGGATTTTTAAAGTAATAACAACTGAGAAACTACATTACCCATGATGCCGTACGGGAAATTCAACCAATCAGAGAGTTGCACCAAAATTGCTCCGCCCACTCTCTTTCTCTCTATATAATTAGCATATGAATTATTGTTTTTATTAATGTAATGAACATCTTTAAATAAATAGTTTTATATTCATCATTGGTATTTTGATTATGTCTTTCGAAATGCATCATGGGATTGTAGTTCTTTCAGTAAAGCCGTTACGTTCACAGTCACAGTCCGATTTTCAAACACTTTTTTTTTTGCTTCAAATAAAAGTTTGCCGTTTTCTGATTCACCTTGCAGCTGCTTGGTTTGGTTCATGGCTCATAACTCTTTAAAACAAGACCCCTATGGGAAAAATGAATGGAAAAAATACTGCTGCTGAAAAACTAGATGGGAGCTTTTGCACTCGTTTACAGTTGTTAACATACTTAATTAACGAAGGACCTCCAGGTGCAACATGTTGTATTGCAGGTCAATCACACACAAGTGAAATGGCATCGGGGTGGAAGGTTCACCTTCAGCTGTCTGGTGCTTCACGATGGCATAGAAGAACCTTTTTGTCTAAATGGTTCCATAAAGAAGCTTTAACATCTGAAGAACCTTTCTGTTTCACAAAAGCTTCTTTGTGGCGAAAGAAGGTTCTTCAGATTACAAAAAGGTAAGAAAGAGATGGTTCTTTAAAGAACCTTTGACTGAATGCTTCTTTGTGGAACCAAAAATGGTTCTTCTATGGCATCGCTTGAAGAACCTTTTGAAACACCTTTATTTTTAAGACTGTACCCCAAAATTAGCATCTTAAATGTTTAGTTCAGCGTTATTATCTTCTTGTGCCGCTGCTGCTCTCAGGCCTGAAGACCATCGTGGGCGCGCTGATCCAGTCGGTGAAGAAGCTGGCAGACGTGATGATCCTGACGGTCTTCTGTCTCAGCGTCTTCGCTCTCATCGGCCTGCAGCTCTTCATGGGGAACCTGCGGCAGAAATGCGTCCGCAGCACCGCGCACTGTCTCAACACCACCTTACCTTCACACAACAACAGCACTTTCTTCTGCAATAACAGAACCTGGTCCTCGCTGGAGAACTTCATCACTAATGAAGGTCAGTGAAGCTCAGACGCAGCCGGTATAAAGTCTGAATGCTCAGACACATCTCAACAATAGCTAGTTTCTATTTCATACATTACAAGAAGATAATGTGGGTGGCGTGTGGCCATGCAGAACTCACCACTGATTCAGAGGCGATGTGAGTGGGTTTTAGCAGGTTTTAGGTGGTTTCTTACTGGTCCACGTCACAAGAGTTCACCTTCAAGTCTCTCTGATATTCTTCAGTCGAGATGAGAGGAAACTGAGAAATAAAAACAGACATAAATAGTTGTTATACAGTAACAGGAGCTCAGATCAATAGATGAGAAATGTTTGAGGTTATTGTTAAATCTGAGCACACTTTGAGACATCGAGACTCGGGAGAAACATAGAAGAAGTGGGATACTTTAGCAAAAGATTCATTACCTTCTAGGAGATATTAAAGACATTTCATTTGTAATTTGTCTTTTCTCTGGATAAAATAACCCAGTGTTGTTTTAGGATTATTTATATACGATTACAGTATTTATTAATATTTTGAAGTAGCTTTCATTTTTTTATATTTCCAGTTTTCAAACAGTTTTAATTTATATTTCTTTCAGTTTAGTTTTAGTCATTGCGATACTTCAAATGTATTTATTTCAGTAATTTTCAAGTGATTTGTTTTAGTTCTAGAAATGTTGTTATATGTTTTTGTCATGTATATTTATTATTTAATATTTCTATTTAGCTTTAATGTATATTTAGTTTGGTTGTATTTTTAGTGATTTTAGTACTTAAACTTAGACAAGTTTTAGTAATTTTCTTTTGTGCTTTTGTCATTTTTATACATTTTTTATTTTTTATTCATATTTATTTTTTAGCAATTTTAGTACTTCAGCTTGAACAAAATTATTTTAGACACATTTTCTAATTCTTGTAAAAGTTTTTTTAATTGAAGTTTTTCATCTAATATTTATGTCATTTAATTTCAGCTTTTTTAAGTAATAAAAACCGTTTTAGAAATGTTTACATTTTTTAAAAGTTTTTTAGAAAACATGTAAAAAATCAGAAATTAATTTTATTTTATTTTATTTTATTTTATTTTATTTTATTTTATTTTATTTTATTTTATTTTATTTTATTTTATGATGACTAAGACATTTGGCTAACTGCTAATCGGCCAGATGGCTATGTTTATGCAACTGGTTATATAATTAAATTTTTTCCTATTTCTTAGAATTTAACTTTAATTGAATAAACACTTGAAAATCACCTGTTGTGTGAATCACTTGAATGAACCCTGCAGTCACTTTCACACGTGTAGACTGTGATATGAAGCATGTTGATCATAATTCTGCAGCTGAATGACAATACCGTCAGAAGAGCGACGTCTAAGATGAGATTTAGTCTTTTTTTGGTTGGTCTCATTTCATTAGAATAGCAATTAGGACAGCGCTGGCACTCGTTAAGTTGACCCCAGAACGCAGATGTAGGACACAGACAGAAATAGACAAGACGCTTTCTCCTCAAGTGCTTTGTCATGGTTTGCATGCTCCAAAACATAGAGAACCACTGAATTGAAACCTTTATTAGTAAAGATCTGATGGACACTGGTGGCCTATCAGCCGTAGAATCGATCAAAGCCGATATATTGAGGCCCATAACCTTTCCCGCTCCGCACAGGAGAAGCATTTAAGGTTATGCTGAAACACAGAATGCCGACAGCTGGATGACAGGATCGGGCCTCGTGCCAAACGAAGTTTTCTCCTCCGGCCTCCGTCGCCCAGCGGCACTCGAGCGAAAACCAGAGCAGATAAAACCCTCCGACGGATCCCGAGCTGCGTAATCTCTCAGCCACTCTCTTCAGCTGGAGGAAAAACAGACGTTTAGTCCTGAGACGAAACCGCAGGCTGTAGCTTATGCAGAGCGGCTTCGGTTTCTGAACATCCAGACGTGTTGATTGCAGGGTTGAGACACTGCTTTCAAACTCAAGCTACTAGTTCAACTAGTTCAAGTTACACTTTTAAAATGTCAAAATGACACACACACACACACGCTCACACACACTCACACACTCGCGCACACGCTCACACGCACACGCTCGCACACGCTCACACACACTCGCACACACACACTCGCAAATATCCCCCAGCCACTTAACACTGCTTTTGTGCTGCAGGGACATATATATGTAACTATATAGTTATATCATTTATAATGTAAGGTAACAGATTTAGGATGATTTGGGAATATTGTGTTGAAATGTTTCTGAAACGTCGAAATATCCGGTTTTCTTGTCGTGTTATTTAAAGGTTACAAAAACGTTTCGTTCTACTTTATTTTCACAGAAAATATAATGTTATTTAAACGTTTATTTGTCATATTCTAAGAACTTTAAAATGTCCAGTTCTCTTGTCATGATTTGAACGTTACTTAAATGTTACAAAAACGTTTCTTAAACATTCCACTAATTTTATTTTTCCCAAAATATAATGTTACTTGAATGTTTATTTTTGATATTCTAAGAACATTAGAATGTCCCGTTTGTATTGTTGCGATTAAAATGTTATTTAAAAATTACAAAACGTTTCTTAAACGTTCTAATTTTATTTGACCCAAATCATAACTTTATTTAAAAGTTTATTTTTAATTTTCTAAGATCATTAACATGTCAAAAAAATGTGAATGTTATTTAAAGGTTACAAAAATGTTTCTTTCAACATTCTACTTTCTTTCTTTTTTTTGCTCCAAAAACATAACATTATTTAAACGTTTACTTTTAATATTCTAAAGAACATTGAAAAACGAATTGTAATATTCTAAGAACACTGATAAAGCGTTTCTTAAACGTTCTGCTGAATTTATTTTTAACCAAAATATGACGTTATTTGAATATTGATTTTTAATATTAATGTTTTTTCAGTACAAATAACGTCATAAGGACGTTCCGAGAAAGTTGTCTGAAAACATTTTGACAAACGTTATAAATATTAATGAAAATATTAATGAAATGAATATGTAAATATCTATCTGTGAATGCTGACACCTTCATTGAGATTCTATTTAAATACAAGCAAAAAAAATAATTTATCTGAGATCAAAACACAGTAAAGAACAGCATTCATTTATGTAATATTTTGCAGTAAAGCTACAGATTTTTCATCCTTTTAAGATAATTTTTTATGTCATTTTAACCCATTAAGGCATGGCGACATGTAACTAATTTAGAATTATTAATTCCATATCATTAGACGTGGAATTATGATGCTCTTGTTTTGAAGTTTTCAAAAACCCAAATATTAAGATCAATAAGAATTGAAATAAAACTAAAACGACTAAAGCTAAAACGGAAATAAATCAATTAAAGCTAAATACAAATATTTAAAATGTAAAAAGATTTAAATTAAAATATTAAAATACACGAAAAAAGCTGTTTAAAAAATATTTTTTATTATAAGAGTATATAAATAATATTAACATTACACCAATTAATATAAATATGTATTTTAATAAAAATAAATAATATCACAGGGTTAACTTTTATTTAGTAATTCAAAAATGCTGATTGATTACAACACATGAACTTTACTCCAGATTTTTCAGAGATGTAATTAATCAGAAATTCTCAGATTCTATTTTTTTTTTTATTCTTCCAGATAATTTCTTCAAAGTGGAGGGAGCCAAGGATGCCTTAATATGTGGGAACGCAAGTGATGCTGGGTGAGTTTAATGCGCTTTATGACTGGATTGTGGTGCACAATTTTGGCGAATTGGTAGCTACGATCATATCCTGGGCTCGTCTGTGGGATGCATATTCAATGAGCTGTATCCTGAATTTGACTGTCTAAATACATTAAGCATTTATTTAGTACGTTCTTGCTGTTTTTAGTGATTGGAAAACTCCAGCAGGTATTGTCTATGGATCGCAAGAGCCCAAAACTTGCTTGTTCTCACATCTTTGATACAATTCTTCTGATGGTTGATCTTAATATCTGTGGTTTGAAACTGAAAATTCTGAATAGAATGTGTGGTCGTTACTGTAATTTACCTTCAAATGTGGCTCATCCAATCAGAATTTAGGGGCGGAGTTATGCATGCTATAAAAGGTAATGACTTCTTCATTTGGAGGCCGCTCATGTGCTGCAGCTGCTGTAAGAGCAGTGAGTGTCTGATTCAGCAGAGCTGCATGTACTGTATGAGTCAGTGGCCTTGACTAACTCACAGCAACCAGACAGACGCCAATCAAGCCCTCCAATCGAGAGGAAGGTGTCTGCGTGAACTGCTGTGAACTGCACATCTCCGAGTCCTTCATTATATTACGACAAACAAAAAACATTTATTTATCAGGTTTTTTATCAGTACTATAATGGATGACGCCATCTGTTTTAATCTAATGGAGTTCAGTAAACAAGACTACTAACAAACAAGACAAGTCAAAAAATAAAAATAATAATAAAATAATTAAATAATTACATAAATAAATAAATGCATTTTATCTACCAGAAACTAATTAGATAAAAATAATTAAATAATTAAATAATTAATTAATATATAAATAAATAAATAATACCAGGATGGATTCATTTAATCAACAGGATTATTATAGTAAAGTTAAAACTAAAACTATAAAAATGACTTGTTACTTGAAAAAAAAAAATACTGATAAAATAAAGTAAAGAATTATATAAATAAATATATAAATCAATAAATTAATTAATTAATTATAGAAAAAAATTTAAAATGATTTTATTTCAGCTATTTTCCAAGGCACTTTTTATCATTTTCATTTAGTTTAACTTGATGTACTAAAATAACTTAAACTAAAACTGGAAAAAACATATAGACATATTAAAATAAAACACAAAAACTAATAAAAATGACAAAAACACAACAACATTTTAAAGACTTTGACTAAAATTAAAACGACAACAAAAATAAAAATCTATTAAAAACATTAATAAAAATATAATAGTATCTAAAAATAACTACTAAAATAATACAACTAAAATAGTTGGTTTAAACGTTGTTTCTGAAATGAGAAATAATACAGATTATTATAATAAAAGCATCACAAATAATAACATGCTTTTCTAATAACTTACGACTAAAAAGACAAAAGGTGTTTTTCTCTGGAATAACGTGTATTTATGAATCATGTACCGTCAGAGAAACATAAATATATAAATGAGTTTTAATTGAATGAAGTACATAAAAAAGATGATGAAGGGTTTACTTTGAAACAGTTTTCACTGAGAAATGAATTTAATTAAACGCGGAACACCAAAAATAATTTTTACAAAATAGTTGAAATGTATAAACGTTTAGTCTATAAATGATCAGCATGATTGCTGTTAAACCTGTTATGCAACCTGCTGCATGCCTTCTCTCGTCTGATTGATAGTTTAGAGTTTTTAGCAAGTAAAAGGTCTTCAGCTGGAGCTTCTCGTGTCAAATCTTGACTGGTTTTGATCAAGTAAGCGTCAGAATAACGTCAGTAATATCTCCAGATGAACTCTTACTACACTGAAGCAGCTCAGCTTTACTTGATTCTCCATCAATCATGTTTTAGAGTCTCAAATCTGATCCTCAGGATCTTTTGAGGAGCGTTTGTTTCCAGAAGCTTTACTTTCACTGTTCCTCAGCAGAGGAATGATCTTCACAAGCCTCCAGAACATCTCACATCTTCATTTCTTCAGCTCTCAATCACTGCATTATGTTTGGAGCATTTCAATCTCATCTCACTGAGACAGATAATCTGACAAAGGACGAATCCGCCATGATAACAGACACATGTCCACCTCTGATAAAACAGCGCTCGGAGACGGAGACGGAGACGGAGACGAGCGTTTGTCTAGTGTGTGTGATGCAGGCCTGTTAAATACATTCAGTTTATTCAGCGCTTTACGAGGGTCAGGGCTCCTGAAGCTGCATCAGTGTTAGGAAGCTGCTTTGAAACAGTTAAAATACTACACAGCTAACTGGGAATGTTCTCAGAACGTTCCGGCAAGGTTCTGTCGACATTACGAACAAACGTTCTTTCAGAAATGTTAATAGACTGTTTGTTCAAAGTTATCTGGTATTTAATAATGTTATCAAAACGTTATTTATACATCATTCATGGAACGTTCCTCTAACGTTTTTTTAAATGTTACTTTTTGTTTCAGAACGTTCCTAGAACATTTAAAAGTAACATTCCCATAATGTTTGCGAAATGATTCAAATGAAAGCTTCCCATAACAATCGTATAACCATCAACACTATCGTCAAAATGATAGATACTTAGCATAAAGTTTGGTTTGGCGGTATGGTTCTGTTCTGGGCAAAAAACTCCCTGCCCATCCATGCAGCCTGTCATGAGCAGGGAGAGCAGCAATAATAACCCCCCTAGGGTTAACAGAACAGAACAAGGCAGATATCATTAATGTACTTGATATTTAAGTGTAACACTTTATCCAAGATAAAGGAGTCTGATTAGCAAGGAATATCAGAAAGCCAAGTCCTGACTGTGGCGAAAGGTGGAGCTGGGGATGGAGGAGGGTAATTTGCTCCGGAGCAAGCTGAAAAGCTGCTGAATAATACTGAATACAGCTTATATAGGAATGCCGCGATAGGTGTCGTATTCCTATAGGTAGATGTGATCAGCTGAGAATCAGCTGATGCAAGCTTGACTCACGTGACCTGCCAGAACTAACGCTAACGCTTAATTTTTAAAACATTTAAAAAACTTGACATTTTGAATGTTCAGAGAACATACGGAAATAACGTTTTCAGGACCTAATGGGAACGTTAGCATAACATTCGCAGAATGTTTTTTGTTAGCTAGGTACTTCCAGTAACGTTAATAAAACGTTTGTTCAACATAATTTAGTCTTTAATAATGTTAACAAAACATTACTTGTACATTGTTCATACATTTTTAAACGTTACTACTTTAAAAGTTACATTCCAATTATGTTTTCCCACTAATATTCACATAACCAAGAAAAATAAATGAATAAATTAAAACGGGAGACCATTTAGAAATAACGTTTTCATAATGTTAGCAAAACATTCTTAGATCATATTTTTGTGAGCTGGGTAGTTAATAAGTTAAACTAATTTAAATAAGCAGTTTTTAAAGTATTTTAAAGGGATAATATCTGAAACAACATTTGCACAATTAAATGTACACTCAATACAACCAACAAAACCATATTCAAAAACATTGTGTTGAAGATATTAGCTAAATGCTGCTGTTTAAGAAAGGAAACGTTAAATTCTGTGAAGGGAATCTGAAGTATTGATTCATTTTTGGAACTGGATCATCTATATGAATCATCCGAACGGACTGATTCACTAAAATTAATCGAATTTACCAGTGCTGCCTATGAAAGAAACATCTGTAAAACTACATGAACAAAAAATGTGACATAAATAAATTTAATGTAAAGTTTTTTGACACTAAATCTGAGCTACTGTCACGTCACAGCAGGGCTATTATAGCTAACTAAAAATAAAATAGAATAGAATAGAATAAAATAAAATGACATAAAATGACATAAAATTAAATTAAATTAAATTATTGTTAAAAAATTTAATAAATACAACTCTTAAAACCTTAACTAAAAACTAATTAAAAATCTCATTGATACTAAAATAACACTGCTTCACAGGCAAGTGTTGTTCTATAATATGTAACAAGGTAATGGTTATAAATACAAAACTAATGGAAGTGTGATATAATGTGCTCTGCTGTTGGCTAGTGGTGGTATATAAATATTTTTGGAGAGCACATCAACAAGTAATCTCTGTCCTTCATCTACAGTGGCCACTCACGCCGACTGACCACCAGCTTTATCACTCACTGATTTTCATGGAACTCCAAACATCTCAATTATAATGTCTTCTCATGTGTCTTAGTAATTATAGGGTGTTAGTGGACATTCATTCAAACAAGAGTCTATTAATAAAATGCGATTGGCTTGTATTTTGACCTTAATGGTACTTTGAGAGGTCACTCACATGAAACGAAAGGTTAACTCAGAATAGCTCAGTAATATGCAACCACATTTCAGACTAACAGCTTCATTGCTTTTTTAATGGTCAGATTTGTTAGTTGTCAAAAAAGTTAATGTGCAACATTATCTGCACCCAATTTTACTTAATTTATTCCTTCATTTCTGATTGTGTTTTTCACTGAAAATGAGACAAAAAATACTGATTAACTGCTGTTTTTTTGTTGCAGAAAAATAATACTGATTAAATACTGATAATTTACCGATAATACTGAGTAAATACTGATTTTTAAAAAAAATTTTATTCATTTGTGGTATTTTTTTAAACTGTAAGATGAGATAAGAAATACTAATTAAATGTTGATTTTAAAATCATGATGAATGAATACTGATTAAACTGATAATTTACCTATAGTACTGAGTAAATACCGATAAAAAAACCCACAAGTCTATTCCATTACTTCATTTATATATATATATATATATATATTTATATTTAACTGGAAAACAAGACAAAAAAAACTACTTTAAAAAACTAATACTTATTAAATACCGATAATTAACCGATAATATTGAGTAAATGCCAATAACCCCTCCCCCCACCAATGTATTCCTTCATTTCTGAAAAAGTTATTTATTTATTTATTTATTTTTTACTGGAAAACAAGACAAAAATATTGATTAAATTTTTATTTTAAAACCATGATGAATTAATACTGAATATTAACCGATAATACTGAGTGAATACCGATAAAACCCCCAAATTTATTCCTTTGCTTCATTTCTGGTAGTTTTTTTAACTGAAAAAAAAATAAGACAAAAATAAATATTGATTAAATGTTGATTTTGAGACCATTATGAAATAATACTGATAAAATACTGATAATTTACCGATAATACCAAGTAAATACTGATTAAATAAACAAATTTAAAAAAATCTTTATTTATATGTCTATTTAAAGATATACATAGATATATAAAATCTATCTATCTATCTATCTATCTATCTATCTATCTATCTATCTATCTATCTATCATTAAAAGCAGGAACATACATATTCAGCATTCATTCATTCATTCATTCATTCATATGAAAGTAAATCGATTAAATAACTTATTTTAAGCACACTAACCAGAATATTACCTAAAGTAATATAATGCTAATGCCTAAAGCAAATAACTTCAATGAGGCCTAAATAAAAACAAGAAAAATAAAGCCTATATACTTTAAGCTTTGAGAGAAGCATGTGTGTTTTTGCCCTGAAAGAGATGATGTTGTTTTGTTATTATCAATATGATTAATATCTCCATATGTAGGTCGCACAGCACAAGCTCTATGTATCTGAAGCCGCTGTTCTTCCTGTCAGTGCATTTGTATCCTTTGCTAGTTCGTTTCCCTCAGGGATTAATTAAGTGAATAATCCAGTGGTCTTATTTTAGCCGTTGTTAGCGTGCAGCTCTCTGGTCACCTTGTGAACCTGGATAGAAACCTGAGTTGAAGGCTGACGGCGTTTCAAACAGAAGCGCTCGCCTCGTTTCACCTCCTCGTCTGTTGTTGGAGGGCTGGACTCTCTCTCTCGCTCCGTCTGCGGCGCTGAGCCAAATAACAGATCAAACTATGAGAAGAGGACCGGACCTCCTGTACGCTCGGGATCATTTGTCTACTGTAAAGAAAAGATTTCCAAAACGTTTATAAAACAGTGATTTTGCTCAGTCTGTCCTGTATCTGGTAGGACTGGATGATATTTCAGAAAACCATTTGGATGCCTTATGATGATATTCAATATACTGTATATGTTAATAATGCTCTTAAAAAAAAAGTGTAATTTTGTTATTTTTTTAACCAGTCGAATTAATTTTAAATAAATGATTCAGTCATTTCCGTTTTTAGGAAGATTAATAGCTAAAAAAAGAAAGAAAGAAATGCATACATTTTCAGCAATATCAGGAATGTGTATATGTACATTTAGAAATTTATTTTAGATTTATATATATATATCACTTTTTTTATATCACTTATTTGTTATATCACTCTAGTATCTGGTCAAATTTACAACATTATATCTGAAAGATAAAGAAAAGGTAAATTATTATATTATATTATATTATATTATATTATATTATATTATATTAATAAAAAGAAATATTCCAGATACTGTCTAGACCTGATATTTTAAATCTGCCCAATCTACAGAATCCAAATAATTTCAATCATATAACAACGATGACCGTCATGTCAAATCAAATCCAAAACTCCCAACTGTGTGCTTTTTCTCCAGGCATCAGGTTGATGCCAGCCAAACTCTCTCCCTGCTCGTCTATATTACTTTTCCTAAATATATCAGCATCATCTTTATACAATAAAGCATCAATGTCTCGTCATCTGAGCTCTCTTTGTGTCTTTGTACTTAGTTACGGTGTTGCGTTATAGTGAGACGTTTAATCTTGCGCGTGTCAATCCGGCCGATCGGAGCGACATCTGATCCCGCAGCAGCGTCCAGAGTTCAGACTCCCAAAGGAAGTAACCTTGAGTCCATCTTGGCTCATAACAGCATAACAGTTATTCAAACAGAACCGACAGATTGGTTTACACACACGGCTCCTAACAGAGATTCCCAGAGCCTGTCTATCGGCCCCGGCCCCGGCTCTCCTATTCTCGGGACCCTGACAGGACAGAGGGACTCTCTAGCGACCAAAATAGAGCATGTCGAAATGCTTTGTGTCCCGGCAATGCGGTCCCAGCTGCCAGTGTGCTGAGAGGGGCTTCTTTGACAAATTCTCCGAGTGACTCTGAGCTGGAACTCAATGACAACAGCAGATCACTGATGAGACCATTACAGGATCCGACATTTATAAACATCCTCAAAACAAGGTTCAATTTAAAGGGGTCCTATTATGCTCTTTTACAAAGTCTTGATTTTGTTTTGGGGGTGTACTAGAACAGGCTCTCATTCTAGGTTGTTCGAAAAACACAATATTTTTCACATATTTTACGTTATTACAACACCTCTCTCCCCAGTGTGGCATGAACTGGGAAGTATAATATACTATAGTACATATACAACTTATATATAACTTTTAAAAAAAACTACTATTTATTTATTTATTTTCCTGTTGATAAAAAATATAAATATTCAATAACAAAATTAAAATATTCAGCAACAAAAAACAAATGAACTAAATATTCAATAACAAAAATTATATTTAACAGTTAAACTATCATTTATTCCTTTACTTCTTTTTTTTAAAACTGGAAAACAAGCCAATTGTATATTAAACAAAATACAGATTAAACATTGATTTTTAAAGCAGTGATTAAAAATATTTACTAAATATTGATAATATTTTAATAAATTTTTTTTTTTTAAATGTTGATAATAACAATCTATTTAATTTATACCTTCACTTCTGGAGAACAAAAACTACTGTTTAAATGTTGATTTTAAACCATAATGAAATAATACAGATTACATTTTGAGTAAAAAAAAAGTTTTAAAATATTTTCTTTTGCTGTAGATAAAAACTTCTAAATAATCAGTAACAAAAACACATTTAACTTAAAACTTTTAAAAAAATTAATTATTTTCTGATAAATTAATGTTTATAATGTTGATTTTAAAACCATGATGAAATAATACTGATTAAATATTGATGAAAAAAGGTTTTTATTTTCTGTCAACAAAAACAATATCTAAACAATCAATAACAAAGCTCTTTTTTCACTGGAAAACAAGACAAAAACCTTGATGATAGCAGTATTTTACATTTACATTTAGTCATTTAGCAGACGCTTTTATCCAAAGCGATTTACAAATGAGGACAATAGAAGCAATCACAACCAACAAAAGAGCAATAATATGCAAGTGCTATAACACATCTCAGTTAACTTAATGCAGAACTGAAAATTATTTTTTATCATATAATAAATAATAAATTTTACTGTCAATATTGAAAACAAATCTATCACTTTTTTTTGTCATAAACTCTAAGCCGTGCCGCTGTAAACAGTCCCAATCTCAAGCACGTTCTGCCACACGAGAAAGGAAGCGGCGGTTGGTATCAGTGCGTCTGGGGTCCGGGGCCCCGTCCAAACCTGACTGAAGTGGGGCCCGTCCATTAGCACGTCCTTCAGGGACACGGCGAGGTGTGTGAGCGCGATAGCAGCCGTCACCCGCACCCTCACGCTTTCAACATGCCAGCCTGCTGAGAGCCAGCTGCCGCCTGCCGGAGACGGGCCCCGGAACGGGACGAACCGCTGGCGCCACCCGCCTCTCAGCGCAACCGTAACTCATAGAGCAAGCGTTCAGAGAGCGCTCACCTTTGTGCACATGTTACAGACCCCTTCAGGACGTCCGATAATAAACAACAAACTCATTTCCTGTACACACTAACGGACTGACCGTGTTTGCAGTGATGATAACCCGTTATTCCTGTTTTCCGCAGCAAATGTCCAGATGGTTTCGAATGTATGAAGACTGGACGAAACCCGAACTACGGCTACACCAGCTTCGACACCTTCGGATGGGCTTTTCTCTCGCTTTTCAGACTCATGACACAAGATTACTGGGAAAACCTCTATCATCACGTCAGTAGACTGTCTGTTCGCTCTCATTACATCACATTCAAGCATTAAACTGTTCATTGGTAGCTGGATGACATACGTTTCTTAGAAGATGCATTTTTTTAAGAAATTAATATTTTTATTTGTAAAGGATGCATTGAATTGATCATATTAGAATCATATCATTACTGTATTTGTTAAATCAAATTTAAAACAAAATATTAATTGTTTTGTATTTAATATAAAATATTTAATATTTCATCATAAAAAATAAAATAAAATGTATAAATATAAAATGTATATGCATACACTACCATTTGGGGTCAGTAATTTTATTACTTTTTTATTTTGAATTTTTTAAAGAAATTAAAACTTCTATTCATCAAGGACACATTAAATTGATCAAAAGTGACACTAAAGACATTTCTAATGTTGCAAAAGATTTCTATTTCAAACAAATGCTGTTCTTTTGAACTTTCTGTTCATCTGTGAATCCTGTGAAATAAAATGCATCACGATTTCCACAAAAAATATTGCGCAGCACGACATTGATAATAATCAGAAATGTTTCTTGAGCAGAAAATCAGCATATTAGAATGATTTCTGAAGATCATGTGACACTGAAAATTCAGATTTGATCACAAGAATAAATTACATTTTACTATATATCCACATAGAAACAGTTATTTTAAATCATAATAATATTTCACAAGTTTTACTCTATTTTTGATCAAATAAATGCAGCTTTGGTGAGCAAAAAAACCCCCCCAGAATTTTGAATGATAGTGAATATGTAAATATAAAATTCAGTGTAATTTATTTCTGTATTTTGGCAGTAAAATATACATTAGAAATGATGCCAAACTTTTGGATGGTAGTGTATGTAGAAATTAAACTTTTATTCATCTGTTTTCATCCACTGACTAGGCTGTTGGCAGATTTTTTTTGCTGTAAATGATCTCAATAGCCTTTGATTGATCATTCTGACCAATGCATCTGTCTGTCACTAATCACAAGCTTTAATTGCACATGAGTTTCTCTCAATCTGCGAGTTATTGCAGCCGTTGAGACCTGGCGCTGTTTCTGTGCTGACAGACGCTGCGCTCGGCGGGAAAAGCGTACATGGTGTTTTTTGTGCTGGTGATCTTCCTGGGCTCCTTTTACCTGGTGAACCTGATCCTGGCTGTGGTGGCCATGGCGTACGAGGAGCAGAACCAGGCCACCATCGCAGAAGCCCTGCTGAAAGAACAAGAGTTTCAGCTCGCCATGGAGCAGCTGAAGAAGGAACAGCAGGTACGTCGGGGTCACTGCTGAAATCAGCTCTTCATTTCTACATTTAAAGGCACAATATGTAAGATTTTTTTATTAAAATATCCAAAAGCCACTAGAACAGTGTTATATATTTTGCTGACTTGTGTACTTACATTATCCCAAATGTTTCGAAGAATGTTCAAATCCAGAGAAATAAGCAATTTTAACTAGTGGCAAGGAGCGTGTCTATAGTGTCATTGCGTCGCCTGCCAATGACGTCACAACCCCTCGATTTCAATGTACAAGAAGTCATGCTACATTGTGATTATAATGACAGCGTTCTGTCTGTCAGACGGCTCAGAAAGCACAAGAAACCGAGTCCATCTTGACGGCCGATGTGTCGCCGTTCTCCTCACAAGGCAAAGGGAATCTGGACCGGAGGAAAAGCTCGAGGCTGCTGTCAGAAGGAACAGAGGACGGCAGCAACGACAAATCAGCCAAGATAGACACTATAGAGGGGATGAAGGTAGATTTATCACCCAAAACTCACCCTCATGTTGTTTTATTCCGTGGAATTGTCTCCAGTTAAGTCAATTCATCTCCGTTTTTCTAGCAAACGCACTCTTTGCTGGTCCGCACTCTCTCCTTACGGGCCAGACGGGAGAGTCAGGTCAGCATCTTCAACTTCCGGCCGCCGAACAAAGACTCGGAGGTGGATTTCGCCGATGATGAGTTCAGCAATCACGGTGATTCGGACAGCCGCGGCGGGGCGCTGGCGCTGCCCTGGAGCAAGAGAAGGACCAGCGCTCAGAGCACCTGCAGCCACAGCTCGCAGTTCTTCTTCCCGAGTCTCAACATCAACGGGAAACTCTTCGTGGCCATAGACCAGAACGGCATCTCGGGCCAGGGACCGCTGTCTCCTCTGCCGCTGCCGACATGCACCATGGAGAAGGTCAAGGAGGAAAGCGTAAGTGCCTTTGTGCTTCTTATCAAACGAGCAGGGCTGCAGAGATGAAGTCCTGTAAATTAGAAACAGCGTGACTGATTTGTAATAAAGCACCTGTGAATCAGGTACGAGTCGACGAAGAACCGCGACTGGAATCGTCTCCTGTGGAGAAATTAGTCAGGATCAGTCTCATGAAGAAATGTCTAGATACTTTGGACAAGTTTGACTGATACTTAATAAATCAATCAATCAATAAATCAATCAGATATACCAATAAATGGTTCATATATTGATAATTAACAGTAAACACTTTGTCAAACTTAATTTGACAAAATATGATTGTTAGAGTACTACTACTACTACTAATACATTTAGTCATTCTGCAGACGCTTTTATCCAAAGTGACTTACAAGAGGCGAACAGACACAGGAAGTGCTTGTAATACCAAGTTTTAGGCATTGTTCAAATAAGTACAAGCTAGAAAGGAATAAATAAAAAAACACATTTAAAATTTTTTTTTAATTTTAGGATGAAGTCAAGTAGCGTCGAAAGAGATGCGTTTTCAGCTGTCACTTGAAAATTGTCAGGGATAGGGGTAGGAAGATCGTTCCACCAGCCAGGAACAGTGAACGAGAATGTTCTGGAAAGTGATTTTGAGCCTCTCTGTGATGGTACCACGAGGCGTCGCTCACTAGCGGATCTCAGACTTCTGGAGGGGATGTAGATTCGTAGTAGTGAGTGGAAGTAGGCGGGTGCTGAGCCTGTGGCTGTTCTATATGCAAGCATTAATGTCTTGAACTTGATGCGAGCCGCAAACGGTAGCCAGTGCAAGGAGATAAAGAGAGGTGGAACATGGGCTCTTTTGGGCTCGTTGAAGACCAGTCGTACCGCTGCATTCTCAATCATTTGTAGAGGTTTGATTGGGCTTGATGGAAGTCTAGCCAGAAGAGCATTGCAGTCGTCCAGCCTAGAGATGACAAGGGCCTGGACAAGAAGTTGTGCAGCATGCTCCGTTAGAAAGGACCTGATCTTTCTGATGTTGTGCAAGATCGAGCAGTCTTTGCAATCAAAATATTACACCAAGATTTCTGACCGAAGTTGATGGGGTAATTGTAGAAGGACCTAGCTGGATGGTGAAACCATGCTGTAGAGTTGGAGTGACAGGGAAGACAAGAAGCTCAGTCTTTGCCAGGTTGAGCTGTAGGTGATGTTCTTTCATCCATGCCGAGATGTCCGCCAGGCAGCCTGAGATCCGTGCAGCTACCGTTGGATCATCTGGTTGAAATGAGAGATAGAGCTGTGTGTCATCAGCATAGCAATGGTAGGAGAAGCCATGTGCCTGTATGATGCCTGTAGGACCCAGTGATGTAGTGTATGTGGAGAAGAGGAGCGGTCCAAGAACTGATCCCTGAGGAATCCCAGTGACCAGTTGATGTGCTTTGGATACCTCCCCTCCCCAGGACACCCTGAAAGACCTACCAGTGAGATAGGATTCAAACCAGCGAAGTGGAATCCCTGTAATGCCCAGTGATGAGAGGGTGGACAGGAGGATCTGATGACTGACAGTGTCACAAGCAGCAGATAGATCCAGCAGAATAAGAATGCAAGGCTTCCGGGACTGACAGTAGAGCAGTCTCAGTTGAATAGCCACTCCTGAATCCTGTCTGGTTAGTGTCCAGTTTGTTGCTCTGTGAAAGAAACAATGATACCTGGTTGAAAACAACTCGTTCGAGGGTTTTCGCTATGAATGGAAGGAGAGAGACAGGTCTGTAGCTGTCTATAAGAGAAGTGTTTAATGTAGGTTTTTTGAGCAGTGGGGTTACCCGAGCCTGCTTGAATGCAGTGGGGAAGGTGCCTGTGAGGAGAGATGTGATGATGATGATGTGTGTGAGTGCTGGTAAGAGTGTAGGAGAATAATAATAATAATTAATTATAATTCATTAATAATAATAACTTTCATAATAAAAAATATATATATTATTAATTATTAGTGAATAATAAAAACATAAAAACAATAACAATTCTGAATTATTATTATTAATAATAATAATAATTATTATTATTATTGTTAAATTGGTCTAGTGATTATGTGCCAAAATGTATAAATAAATTATGAATTCTATATTTAAATATTTTTTTTTCTTTTTTTTAACATCTCTTCTGCTCTCCAAGGCTTCAAGATTTGATCAAAAATAAAGGAAAATGTGAAATATTATTACAATTTAAAATAACCATTTTCTCTGTGAATATCTGTTAAACTGTGATGTATTTCTGTGATACGCAGCTGTATTTTCAGCATCATTCCTCCAGTCTTCAGTGTCACATGATCTTCAGAAATCAGTATAATATGCTGATCTGCTGCTCGAGAAACATTTCTGATTATTATCAATGTTGAACACAATTCATATTCATATATATTTGTGGAAAAATGTGCATTTATTTGAAACAGAAATATTTTGTAACTTTATACATTGCTTTACTGTTACTTTTGATCAATTTAATATTTTTTTTAAATTGTAGTGTAGAAAAAAATGGTTATCAGATGATAAAACATTAAATTATTCAGCTGGTCATAAAAAATCTACATATTTCACCCCAAAATGTAAAGAAAAAAAAATACATAATGAAACTGAAGCCTTTTGTTAGAAGCATGCATATTATTGGTATTGTGACATTTGCCATTTTTTAATTTATGTTTTTTAAACATGTAAAGCATTTTTACAGTAGTGAGAATCTGGTCAAATTTGACCATTTTTGTCAGATTTACCTCTGAACATTGTTAGTTTAAAACAGACATCAACTCAAGGTTAAGTGGCTGAACGTCTCAGAAACCTCCTCATCTTCTTCAAGGACGAAACATAAGAGCTCCTGTCTCTGAACAGACTGCTCCGCTCTGTGTTACAGTATGTTCATACAGTAGTCAGTCCTTCTATAGCTGCCAGTCACACTGATAACATGCATTATGCTCTTGCCTTCTCTGAGCTGATTTGGACGAGTTCTTTTCTTTTATTGGTAGACTGCAAGCATGCTGTGTAATGATGAGTGTTACATAAGAACCTCCACCTCTCTGCTCTTTCCTGCATTTGCAAATTATTATTTGTCTGCGTGTCAAACAGAATGATTCTGAAACAAAGACGCAGGTTATTTTAATGCAATAAGTCTTGGGACCGGCAAACATTATGGATTTTTTATTGTCTAGACATTTTGCATTATCAGATATTAAGCTGAAAGCAGCATAATCTAATGGTTTTTACTGTACAGAAATTATTGCAAGGATATTGCATGGATTGCAATCTGACAAAAACCTGTAAGAACATGTCCAGGTCATATTTCACCCCAGAATTAAATGTTAAAAATTAGAAATCATATTTTGAATTAGGGGGGAAAAAAGAGAAGGACATTTGAGATTTGTGTTGCATTATGCCATTATTTATAAGATACAAAATGTTAACTGTATAATTGTATACTGTATATTATATATTAAATATATAACAATTTGATTATAATTTATTATTTCATCCAATATAATACAATTAATCGCTTTTATCCAAAGCAACTTACAAAATAACAAAAGCAATTTGTCAAAGAACAACAGTATAGTAATATTTCTTATATTTATTATTTGTTTATATTTGTTTAATGGGTTATTATCCATTGTTTATTGTTTATATTTGTTGTTTTATTTTTATTTTTATTTAATATTAATCATAATAATGATAATAATCATTGGTATTATTAAATATTTAAATATTGTTATTATTATTATGTTAAATATTATATTTAAAATGTACAATTATTTATACTATAGAAAAATATAGAAAATTATAATTAAAATAAATTAATAAATATAGTATATATATATATATATACATTTTTGGGTGAAATGCATGCCAGACATGTTCTGAAAAGGTATGCGAGTTATTTATATATATATATATATATATATATATATATACATTTTTTCTGTACACACACAGTACAGACATATTTAACAGAATCAAAACATGACTCAGTGTGTGCAGAGAGAGGTCTGTGATTGGAGAGAGAAGTTGCTGTTGCTTTTCCTTGGAAACACAAGTACACGTCCCAGAATGCTGTGTTATCAGATGCCTTAAACTGCCTCGCATTGAAGAGAAATGCACTGCATGCTTAATTAGCAATTACTTCACGCATCTGTTACATAAGTGAAGCATAGGTGATTACCATAGATGCATACTGTACGATACATGAAAAGGAACCCGTAAAGATCATGAATGCTATTATTATTATTATTATTATTAAATACTGAGATCTTTTGATTTTTGACTTTATTGTAGGCAAATATGAGTCTAATAAGAGACACATGTGAGATTTCTGAGGTCTTTTTCTCATCTGAGATGCAGCAACGTCTAAGTTTGCACTTCATTTAATCTCAGTGCTGTCTAGAGAGATATTTTTTGATATATTTAAAGTGATTTTCTTTCATATGGGCTTTTGAAACGGGAAGTATGACATCCTGCCAGAAATATCTGAATTGCTCAGAAAGGAAAGGAGTCTGAAAACTGTCTGGACTGTGTGAAGGAGGCACGGATACCCTGTTGTCTTGGCGATGTAGTCATGGTAACATAGCAACAGATGTTGAATAAGAGTCGCAGAGGTGGTGTCTCACACACTCTCTCACACACACACACACACACACACACACACACGGCGGTGTTTCCCACTCGTCTGAACAGCAGGAGTGGGCGTTCTGGTGGGCCGTGATGAAGTGCTCCTGCGTCATTCCTTTGATTACCTGCGATCAAAAACACATTATATAATCAGATGGTTCATTGTTACAGACAGACATCGTATCGACTCGAAGACCTCAGATTAAAAAAAATTAAATCAGCTGACGTGTAGAAAACAAATGGATAAAAGCGTTTGACAAATTAACGCATTTCCCAAAACGCCCATTATCACTGAAGACATCTGCTTCTGAGGGTTAATCGCTGCTTTTATTAGGCTTTTGTTTTGCAATAAACAGAATTGATTTTTAAAGGCCATTAGGAGTGTTGTAGATTAAGGTGTGTGTGTGTGTTTGCACAGTCAATAATACCATATAAATTATTGTGTTTGCTGAGCCTTATCTAGAGACAAGAACATCAGAGAGAATTGAGGGGGGAGCTATTCATAACTCCTTAACAACCACATAGCAACGCCCTGGCAACCACCTAGCAACCACCCAGTCACCCTAGCAACCACATAGCAATGTGTTCAACATCGTTCAGAGCACTTAACAACTGCACAGCAACACTTGCAATGCCCTTGCAAATGTCAGCTACACTGTAACTACTGCATAGTAACACCCTAGCAACCACCCAGGTCACACTAGCAACCACATAGTAACGCCCTGGCAACCACCCAGTCACCCTAGCAGCCACATAAATGTGCTTAAAGTCATTCAGAACACTTAGGAACTGCACAGCAGTGTCTTTACAATCACAGAGAACACTGTGGAAATCACATAGCAGCACCCTAGCAACCATCCAAATACCCTAGCAACCACATAGCAAGACCCTAGCAACCACCCAAACACCCTTACACATAGCAATGTGCTTAAAAATCATTCAGGACAGGTAGCAACTGCACAACAGCACTACAAATGACCTTGCAATCACCCAAATACCCTAGCAACCACATTGCAAGACCTTAGCAACCACCCAAATACCCTAGCAACCACATTGCAAGACCTTAGCAACCACCCAAACACATAGCAATGTGCTTAAAAATCATTCAGGACAGGTAGCAACTGCACAACAGCACTACAAATGACCTTGCAATCACGTACACAGCCCTGTAGAAACCACACAGCAACACCCTAGCAATCACCCAAATACCCTAGCAACCACATTGCAAGACCCTAGCAATCACCCAAATACCCTAGCAACCACATTGCAAGACCTTAGCAACCACCCAAACACATAGCAATGTGCTTAAAAATCATTCAGGACAGGTAGCAACTGCACAACAGCACTACAAATGACCTTGCAATCACCCAAATACCCTAGCAACCACATAGCAACACCCTAGCAATCACCCAAATACCCTAGCAACCACATAGCAACACCTTAGCAACCACCCTGACACATAGCAATGTGTTTAAAAAGCATTCAGGACAGGTAGCAACTGCACAGCAGCACTACAAATGACCTTGCAATCACCAACAATTCTATAGCAACCACATAGCAACACCTTAGAAACCATCTAAACACCCTAGCAACTGCATAACAATGTGCTTAAAATCATTCAGAACATTTAACAACTGCACAGCAATGGCCTTGTAATCACCCACAACATTGTAGCTACCACATAGCAATACCATAGGAACCATCCAGAGACCCTAGCAACCACATGGCAATGTGTCACTCACACAACCCTACAGAAACAACAAAGGCAACACCCTAGCAACCACCAAACACCGTAGTGTATAGCAATGTGTTAAAAAATCATTCAGAACAGGTAGCAACTGCACAGCTACACTAGAAATGCCCCTGCAATCACCAGCAATGTTGTAGCAAGCACATAGAAACACCTTAGAAACCATCTAAACACCCTTAAAGTATGCACTCTTCTGGTGAAAAAAAGTACACACTTTTGAGTGTGTAGTAGAAGAGTAGGCAAGCTTTGGGACAAACTATCACGTCATACAACTGCGTCTTTGCTCTGTCGCACAGTTACACGCACCCTGTCACTGTAAACTGACCTGTTAATCATCTCGTCACAGTTAACATCTTCCACATTTAATTTAATTTAACTTCCTACCATATCGGAGAGAAAAGAAGTAGCTCGTTGACCTGCCAGCTGTGGGTCTTTATGCGGAGATCTCTGCTCAGAATTTTTGCATAATGATGCATTTAAAAGTTAATGGCCAAATGATCATTTATAAAAGTTCACATTGTTGTTGTAGATGAAATATAACACAGATAAGATTAAATAAACATTTTTTTTACCAGGTTAGCCTAAATGTTGATTATTAGTAACTCAAACCCATTTATCTCAACCTCTCTATTTAACCGTCGGTCGTGCACATCCACCATGTTTGTAGGTTTTCGTGTTTGTAGTTCTGAAACGAATCCTTCGCCAAAGCACAATGGATTGTGGGTAATATTAGCCATTAGAGTGTGCATGGATCCACACTTCAAAAATCTTCCTGAAACAGTAGACCATCCGGGGACTTCTGGCATACTCTTTTCAACATACTATGCTTTGGGACACACTTATTCTAATCTCACATACTATTTGGATAGTATGGACATTGGGATGCAGGCAAAGTAAAGTGTTTAAAATCATTTAGAACACTTAGCAACTACATAGCAACACCCTAGCAACCACTCGGTCTCCCTAGCAACCATAAACCAACCATAATAATTTTTTTTGCATTCTAAAGCTTTGGTATGATACATATTATATGAAAAACACCACACAGTGAATTGAAGTAAAAGAGAGAACAGTTAGTGCTATAAACATGCTCTTGTTTATTTCCTTATGAAGCCATTTCGGTGACTGCTGTTGTTGGTTTTTCAGGGACACAACTCCAGCAATGAGCTGAGCAGTATGCTCCTGCCCCAGCTGCCCCAGGAGGGCCGAGACCGGACCCTGAGCGCCACCAGCTACATCACTGACGCCATGGAAGGTAAGACACGGCGCCTGACAGAAACACAACACAACCTACAAACCACAATCACACATGAGCCAGCGACGAGATATTAACCCTGAAACAACTCCATATGCATGCAAAATCCACATGAAATCTTTTCAGATGCGTGCAAGGACAGGAGAAGTGTCTCCATCTGCTTGCGGTTAATATCGTCCCCCGAGACTTCTCTCGCTCTTGTTATTCAGAGGAAAGGTGTAACCCTCCCCACTGCTGCTTCATCATGACACAGCCATGCTGTGACATCACCTGGGTGGCACAAGAAGCCAGACTCTTCCCTGAGCGTTTTAGCGACTAAATAATAGGGTAACAGAATGTCCTCGCAGTTTCAAATCCGTTATGCCCATCGGGACAAAGCGTTTTAGGAAACAAAAGAGTAGACCGCCTGTAGACGTTGGTGTATAAATAAATCAAGTGATGAATTCATTTTCACTGTTTGCGGCTCATTCAGACCATGGACGATAACTATAGGTAACTATGAAGCTTTAAAAATCATTTAAAACAGTAACAACGCAAAGGAACGATATAGTTGGAATCACTTTCAGAGTGATATTTTTCCAACTGGTGAATGATAAAAACAATGACAGCCAATCAGAATCCATGCAACTTTAACAAGCTTGAGTATTTAATGTGTCAGATGACAAAACAGAAATGCACGACCATAATAAACAGAAAAATATGGCACACTGATGTGGATGTTAATTATCTTTATAGTTATCGTATAAGACCCATTCGTACGGTAACAACACAGTGGATCAATATAGTTGGAATCCCCTTCAAAACTTAATTTTTTCCAGGTGATGAGTGATAAAAACATTGACAGCCAATTAGAATCCACCTAAATTTAACGACAAAACAGCAGTGCACACTTATACTAAACAGAATGTTGTCGTAAGCCAAAGTGAATGCTAATTATCTTTACAGTTATCGTTAAAGGCCACCAAGCACGACACCTATGACGTTTTAATAATCACTCTAATGCTACGAGAATAGTAAAGTTCACTCAACTATGACGATAACAACGCAGAGGAACGATATCGTTGGAATCACTTTCAGAGCGATTTTCCAGCCAATCAGAATCCACCTGAGTTTACCGAAATTGAGTATTTAAAGTGACAGAAGACAAAACGGCAGTGTGCGCTTATAATAAACAGAATGTTATCATCTGCCGATTAGGGGTGTAACGGTTCAAATTACTCACGGTTTGCATCACCGTTTTAGAGTCACCGTTTCGGTATGGTTCAGTATGTGCTATTTTAGGGAAAAAGGAACTATACTGTCAAATAAAAATACAGAAAATAACAACTAATCTAACTACAAGAAACAGCACAAATAAATACAGTAGAGCAAAGATAAAGAAAATAAATAGTCCTTTTCAGGGTTTATTTAACATTAGTTTTTAGGTACAGAAATTAAATAATCTAATGTAAACTAACATTGCATATTTGACTGTATAAATTAAAGATTAATCCTTATTAAAGTTACAAAAGCTATTCAGTCAAGAGCAGTGAGTGATTTCCTTGTCTTTTGTTGTTTGATTAACATTAAAAACTTTAAGACAATGCACGGATCCAGTACACTGATACTGAACGTTCGACCACTTTTAGAACGATTTTTCCAGCTAATGAATAATACAAATGTTGACAGCCAATTCGAATCTACCTGAAAGAGTGTAAGCATTTAAAGCAACAGGCGTTGCAAAATTGTATTGCCCACTGGCGTGGACACTAATGTAATTATCTTTGCTAATATAGTTATAGTACTTATAGCGAAGTAACAAGGAGAAACATGAGATCATTGGCATCTTTTTATGAGTACAAACATCAGGATTCTTCATCAGAAGTCAGTCGAAGACAGTTTTCTGTCATACAGTTAGTGTGCTCTCCTCACTAGAGGACATGAAATGTCACCTGTGAATAAAAATGGCCCATATTTTTGAGTCTTTTCTGGAATCTTGATTGGTCAGCACAAAAGTTGCTAACAGAAGAAGGCCTGAGCTCACAGGGTCTGAGTTTAGATCTGCTAGCATAAGAAAATGCCAATCCTCATTTTCACGCATGTGAAAGCTGACACGGCAGGACAGCAGCAGGCCAAATTTACTGTAATGAGCGCGTTATGTCAGATGATGCTCACATACGTGTATGATAGATTGCCAGCTACCACTTACTGATTTACTTGTATATAAATATGCTGACACTGGAAGAGCCGTATTGCAAAAATTCTCAGACGTACTCTTTACAAAAAAAATTACCATGGTAATCATAGTTTGCACTGTGGTTTTACTATCCAGGGCCTGAATTTTGTACTGTTTTAATCATTCCTGCAGGGAAATTCCCATTTGCTATGACAGGAGTACATTATTTTACACAAATCAAATCTATGATTTTATAGCTGAATAAAGATGAAATAACGGTACTACTGTACAGTTTTAACCTAAATAATGTAAGTGAGCAAACAGTGTGAAGTCTTTGTATTTGTAAATAACAACTAACCGAGCAAAGATCTAGAAACTGCCCAAATACCCAAGCAAATACCAAACCCCAGAGTGCCCTAGGAACCACAAAACAACTCTTGAGAGCATCCTGAACACCTTAGCAACCGCAAAGCAACACAGTGTCCTCACAACTACCCAGCACACCCTAGAAACCCCTTAGAAACAACGCAGACACCCTAGCAACCCCCTAGAAACAATCCAGACACCATAACAATCCACTAGAAACAACCTAGACGCCCTAGCAACCCCCTAGAAACAATCCAGACACCATTACAATCCACTAGAAACAACATAGACACCCTAGCAACTCCCTAGAAACAGCCCAGACAGCCTAGCAACCCCCTAGAAACAATACGAACACCCTAGCAACCCCCTAGAAACAATCCAGATACACAGCAATCCCCTAGAAATAATGCAGACACCCTAGCAACCCCCTAGAAATCAATGCAGACACCCTAGCAATCCTCTAGAAACAAGGCAGATACCCCAACAACCCCCTAGAAACAGCCCGACGCCCTAGCAACCCCCTAGAAATCAATGCAGACACCCTAGCAATCCTCTAGAAACAAGGCAGATACCCCAACAACCCCCTAGAAACAGCCCGACACCCTAGCAACCCCCTAGAAACAATACAGACACACCATAACAATCTTCTAGAAACAACATAGACGCCCTAGCAACTCCCTAGAAACAACCTAGACACCATAACAATCCACTGGAAACAACCCAGACACCCTAGCAACCGCATAGAAATGTGCTACAAATAATTTAGAAAACTAGTAATGCCATAGCAACCACCCACACAGCTTAGCAACCACAAAAACCTTGTTTGTTTGTTTGTTTTTTGCTTGCAATGATACATATTGTGAAAAATGCCATATAATACATTTACAGTAAAATATAATCAACTATATAGACTGCAAGAGTGCAACATTATAGCGACTGAAGTTCTTTTTCCAAGCATGCAAGCAATCAATCAATCAAATTCATATATTTTTATTTTTTAAATAATAATTCAAATAATTATTAACTTTTTTATTTTATAGTTTAATTAACTAAAAAAAATAATTCTCATAGTTCATCATTAACACTCAGAAACAACGTTACACGTCATCTGCAGTTTAGTTCCTGCTGTGTTAAGGTGAACGCGGTGTTAACTGAAGGACTGTTTGTTGGTCAGTTTCTCTTGTGGAGGATGAAATAAAGGCTGACAGGTCGACTGCACCCGCTGTGGTCCATCACACCACCGCAGCAGCTCATCGCAGGAGTTAGTAGCACATTACTGCCGCAGAGCCAAATCTAGAGCCACAAGATGTCCGTCTCTGTCTCATTTCTCATTAGAATGCTTACTGGTTCCTCCTAAACACGCATCCTCGCTTGTCAAGTGCAATTCAACCTCAGTTGGGTATGCTAACTTTTCATCGTGACCTATTCATGTGGTGTTTGCTACAAGCCAAGAATTTCAATGCTCAGCTGTAAATTACGCTTTTATCTAAAGTAGTTATTATTGAATGCACATGCATGGAAGCATTTGTATAGCACTGGCAAAAACACGTTTTATGTGCAGTCAGACACTCTATCATGAGGCCTCTAATGGTTTATGTAAATGTTTTGATTTAATTTATTCATCCAGACAGGTAAACAGTCCATCCTTACATTACAATAAATTTACACTGTGGTGCTTTAATATTATGCATAAAATCCCTCTTAACTGGCAGATATCTGTGAAATGAGTTCTGTGACTCCATTGCAGTCTTCAAACAGGAACAAACTACACGGAGAACCAATCAGAAACACTAGACGGCTGTCAATCATTATGCCCTTTCAGGCTTGCCGGCTTCGGATTGGCTGACATGTCTTTGGAGGGCGGGGTTTACAGACTGTGTACAAAATGATTGACGTTAGTAACATTGCTGAACTTTCAAGTTAGATTGGTGTTTTGAAGAACCAATAAACAACAATATAACTCAACAGAGTGATCTGAAGGTCTTATAATGACGCATCAAGGAACAGATAGGGTCAGTTCAAGAACCCTATACGACCAAATGTGGTTCTTGTGAAGAAAACGAACCTAATGAAGGAGGCATGGGTCATTTCTTCTCCCCTGGTTGTTTTTGCGCTGACAGAGCTGGAGGAGGCGCAGCAGAAGTGTCACCCGTGCTGGTACGTGTTTGCACACAAGTACCTGGTGTGGACGTGTGGCCCCAGCTGGCTGAAGATGAAGGAGTGGGTGAAGTTCATGGTGAATGATCCGTTCCTGGATCTGACCATCACTATCTGCATCGTTCTCAACACGCTCTTCATGGCTCTGGAGCACTATCCCATGACAGACGAGTTCAACCGCATGCTGTCTGTGGGGAACCTGGTGAGCACCACTTTTGAGTATTTACTGCACTTCATCCTGTCACTAAAGATGCATTAATACAGGGGTGCCCAAACTCGGTCCTGGAGGGCCGGTGTCCTGAAGAGTTTAGCTCCAACCCCAATTAAACACACCTGAAGCAGCTAATCAAGCTCTTACTAGGCATACTAGAAACTTGAATGCAGGTGTGTTGAGGCAAGTTGGAGCTAAACTCTGCAGGACACCGGCCCTCCAGGACCGAGTTTGGGCACCCCTGCTTTAATATAAGTGTGTTGGCATATACTGACTTTAACTGTAATTATTTGTTATATTTTGTAACATTTATTGTAGCGTTCAAATAAATATTTGGCATTGTTAATATTGTAAATATATTAAAATTAAAATATTATAATAAATATCATTTTTTATATTATATTATATTATATTATTTAAAAATATATTTTATGTGTACCTTTATATAATTGTACACTACCATTCAAAAGTTTGGGGGTTGGTAAGATTTTTATTAATTGTTTTATGTTTTTGAAAGAAACCTCTTCTGCTCCTGCATTTATTTGATCAAAAATACAGTAAACATTTTTTAAATATTATTATAATTTAAAATAAGTGTTTTCTATGTGAATATGTGTTAAACTGTAATTTATTTCTCTGAATTTTCAGCATCATTCCTCCAGTCTTCAGTGTCACATGATCTTCAGAAATCAGTATAATATTATTATTTGCTGCTTAAGAAACGTTTCTGATTATTATCAATGTTGAACACAGTCGTGCTGCACAATATTTTTGTGGAAACTGTGATACATTTTATTTTTTAGGATTCTTTGATGAATAGAATGTTCAAAAGAACAGCATTTATTTGAAATAGAAGTCTTTTGTAGCGTTATAAATGTCTTTACTGGCACTTTGGATCAATTTAATGTGTCCTTGCTGAATAAAAGTATTAATTTATAAAAAAATAAAAAATTATATTTAATCATTGACCTCAAATGGTAGTGTGTGCATACAAGTTATATATTTAAACATTTTATGATTAATTCATTATAATCAAATAATATATATTTATATTAAATACAAAACTATATATATATATATATACCTTTATTTGTTATACAGGTCATGGAAAATCAGGTTTAGCACATTGCATTGTGGGAAACAGCAGGCGGCGCAGTGTAATCTGGTTGCATTCGTCTCATTTTAGCAAATGTAGTGAGTGTGCAATGAATAAAACCTGTATACTGCAGAAATAGTGATGGTAGCATGATACCGAATGTTGTTTGAAGATATAGATACTGTAGACGGGAGTCATATGAGGACGCTCAGATCAATACGGGTCTCTTCACATGACCGAAGCACAGAGCTGGACGAGTGTTGAGATCTCAGAGACGGAGACGGTCACGTCTGTTAGTTTGTGCATGACTGACGGCGTTATCGACTCTGTCATCTGTAGATTAAAGTGAAGAGCAGAGACGCTCGGTGTGTTAGTTACAGACAGCCACCGCTCAGTGCTTTCTGTGCTGCGCTGAACATGTCCGGCTCATATTTTATCCTAGAGTCTAAAAAAATAAACGTTTTGATGCATGCTATATATTGTATTTTTGTATATAGTTTGGAGCCTCTTTTAAAAGGTGTCCTTATTGCAACTTTTTTGGAAGTGTTTGTCCAGCCTTGTTAAAGTGTGAATGTCTCGAAGGCTGTCAAGCTCATATGTTATCCTAAAATCTAAAGCAAAAAATAATAATGTGATTAAATATTTTTAAATTATTTATTTTAATTGATTGTATATATATATATATATATATATATATACAGTATGTGTGTGTGTGTGTGTGTGTGTGTATATGTATTATTTTATTTTATTTTTTAATGTCTATTTTTATTTTATTTTATATCCTGAATGTATTTCATGAGATTCAGCTTCAAATAGGATGAAGATGTTATTTTCCAGGGAAAATAAATAAATAAATAAAAGCAAAAGCAAAATATAAAGATAAAAATAAGTATTTAAATATATAATATAAAGTCTATTTTGGTTATACTTATTATTACAATTATTATTTTCATTATTAACATTTTTCTTCCTTGTTTCTTCACTGAGTGAATGTCTCTAACCCTAACCCTAACCCTAACATGTTCTCTAAGTCAAGAACATGTCCTGCTCATATTTTATTCTAAAATTAAAAATGTATAAATATCTTGATTTAAATGTTTTGAAATATGGATAGTTTATTTAATTTTTAATTTAATTTTATTTAATTTTATTTATTTTATTTTATAACATTTTTTAAATGTATTTATTTATTCATTTATTTATTTTACATTTTTTGGTGGAATATGTATAGAAATATGTATAGTTTATTTAATTTTTAATTTAATTTAATTTTATTTTATTTTCTTTTAATTTTATTTAATTTAATTTTATTTATTTTAATAATTTTTTTAAAATGTATTTATTTATTCATTTATTTATTTTACATTTTTTGGTGGTCTGAAATGTGACCTGAGCGTGGTTTCATGAGCTTCGCCCTCAAAGAGGCCGTAGATGTTCCTCCAGATCTCAGTTTATTGGTTAGATTTAAGAGGTAATTAGAGGATGTGAGGCAGAAGCAGAGCTGATCTTCTTCACAGGACGTGTTTGCCTCAGATGTTTCCTGCTGCTGTGTCACGTATCACAGTCACATCCAAACGCTCGGCTCCCAGATACAAGAAACAGAGCAAACAGCTGCCGTAGATACACGCACCTTGTAGCCATGGCAACAAAGAGCAAACCACCTGTCATTCATAAAGTTCTACACATGCCCCGCCCCTTCTGTGTTTGTTTGTTTAAACATTTTGCTTAATTAAATTATGCTTTCAACTGCCAATAATTGTATAGTACTCTGAAGTACATAAAAAAATAAGTAGAAAAAAAAATAAAAATCAATGTTACATAAACAGGTCAGATCCATTTCATAGTTTTAGTTGACGATTAAAATTTTGTTATGTGCTTTTGTAATTTTTAGCAGCATTTGTGTTATTTAATATATATTTTTATTTAGCTTTAATATATTTTTAATTCAGTTTTAGAATTTTAGAAATTTTATTTAGAAGTTTTCTTTTCTTTTTTTAATTTTAAATTATTTATGATAGTTTCAGTTAACAATAATAACCGCGTAGAATAAATATATGAATAAATAAAAAAAAATATTTTGCATGACAATGAATGAAAATGAAGCCTGACTGACTATTAAATTCATTCATTTTTATGTAATATTACTTAAATGTATGTATTGTTAATTTCAGCAGATCAAGAATAGCATAATAAACATTTACCATGTTTTTGTCGCAAAAACTAAATGTGAATACAGTCATTATTTATATAGTGGCATTTATTATACATTTATTTATGCATTCACATATTTATTTATATTTATGCATTCATTTATTTATATTTATACATTCACATAAGAATATTTTTTTTTACATTTATACAATTATTTATACACTCTTTACACAATATGTATATGTTTATTTACATAATGTACATAGATATAAGCATTCTTGTAGCTCAAACAGTTCAGCTGCATCTGATTCCCGAAGATTGCATTAAAATCTACATTTAGTGAAAGTGGCTTTGGATAAAAGCGTCTGTCAAATGCATGAATGTAAATCTACACTGTAAAAAAAAAATCCGTAAAATTTACGGTAAAAAAACGGCAGCTGTGGTTGCCGGAATTTTACCGTAAAAAATACGGTAGCAACGTTTTAGGTTTTAACTTAAATTTACAGCTAAATACCGTAATTTCATTAACTGATATAATGTTCATATACCAACCTATTGAAGCACTGACATCTGTTTTATAGCTTTGTAATACACTGATAACCACCAAATGCAGGTGATGAGAAAGTCACACGATGAACCAAAGCCCATCACAAGCAGCTTTTAGATAATAACATATATAGAAGGTGCACAGCGTCGTTCACACAAACACTAAACACCATCACGGTAACACACATGAAACTGAAATAATGCAATAAACATTAGGTGCAACACACAACACTAATATACAAAACCGATAAGAAAAAACTAAGAAGAAACATAGTTATTTCAAGAAAAAAACATCAAATTTGAAATGTAACGCAGGGATTTCTGGGAATGTCAATTTACGGTCTTTTTCACTTCCAGAAATGGTATACTACTGTAAAATTAATGTCCAATACATGTAATGTTCAATACAGTTTTTCACCGTATATAGTAGGGGAATTTACCGTTAACCATTTAACAGGTTTTTACTGTAGCATTTTTACAGTCTTTTACCGTTAAATTCACGGTCATTTTTACAGTGTACAGTTTGAAGACGTTCACCAGCCTGCTGCTGTTTTTCTCAGGTGTTCACAGGCATCTTCACAGCGGAGATGGTCCTGAAGATCATCGCTCTGGATCCGTATTATTACTTTCAGCAGGGCTGGAACATCTTTGACAGTCTGATCGTGAGTCTGAGTCTCATGGAGCTGGGTTTGTCCAACGTGGAGGGTCTGTCTGTCCTGCGCTCCTTCAGACTGGTAAAACACGCAAAATACTCTCAGAGCTCACAGCTTGTTTTCTTCTCGCATTTGTATTTGTTTGTCATTCTTACAAGACCCTGCATCATACAGTATTTGTTGAATGAAAGCCAATAACTGTCTGTTTTGGGATGCTGATTTCAAAAATAGTCTGTTTTCCTTAATCAGCAGAAAAACGTCCACAAACCCAGCTAGGAAATATAGATTCTACATATGTTTTCCTAACTTTCCCATTAAAGGAACACTCCACTATTTTTGAAAATAGGCTCATTTTCCAACTCCCCTAGAGTTAAACATTTGAGGTTTACCGTTTTCGAATCCGTTCAGCCGATCTCCGGGTCTGGCGGTAGCACTTTTAGCTTAGCTTAGCATAGATCATTGAATCTGATTAGACCGTTAGCATCTCGCTCAAAAATGACCAAAGAGTCTCTATTTTTTTCCTGTTTAAAACTGGACTCTTCTGTAGTTACATCGTGTACTAAGACCGACGGAAAATTAAAAGTTGTGATTTTCTAGGCCGATATGGCCGGCGTAATTTTCTAGGCTCTTATTCCGGCCTAATAATCAAGGAGCTTTGCTGCCGTACCATGGGTGCAGCAGGCGCACTGATATTACGCAGCGCCTGAAAATAGTCCCCAGCACGCTCCCTGTGCAAGCAGGTGGTCACGTTGGTTATGTTGACGAAAACGGTAAAACTCAACTGTTTAACTCTAGGGGAGTCGGAAAATGAGTCTATTTTCAAAAATAGTGGAGTGTTCCTTAAAGTTATGAACACATTATTTCTGATGTTTTCTGAACAATCAAAACATCCATTTTAAAGTGTTTTATAATTATTATTTTAATAATTATTATACGAACGTTAATGGAACGTTCCATTTGATCATTTTGCAAACATTATGGGATTGTTACATTTGAATGTTCTCTGAACGTTCTGAAACAAGTAGTTACATTTAAAAAATGTTACATGAACATCGACCTGAAAAAAAAAAAGTTCCGTAACGTTTTGAGAACATTATTAAAGATTAGATAACTTTGAACAGACGTTACTAGAAGAACATTTGCTCATAACTTTGAGAGAACGTTTCTTGTTAGCTAGGAAGATGTGATTTATTTTTCTTTTTTCAATTTATTCAATTCTCAGCCAATTTTAACATGTATGAAAGACATTATTTCATTATTTTACAATTATGGCCAGTGACGGAAGAAAATGCAGACATGACCCAGATGTTTTTTTCTGTTTTACATCCAAAGTGCCACAGAAAATGACAGATTTAGTGATTTTTTTTATTTATAAAAATTTTCAATGTTTCTTTAAAAACTTGATTATTTATTTAAAATTTCAATACTTCATTTTGACTGCTTTTTTTTATTTTTATAAGTGCATTAAAGCTGATACATACAGTAGGTATACATACTGTATATTTACAGTAATGTAAAAAAATCTTCATTCTTAATTTATTAAAAAACTATGTGATAGTTTTTACTGATTTGTTTGTTTTTGTTTTAACTCAGCATCATCAAATTAGGTCATATTAGGCCTTTTTCACAGCTCAGCGTGACTGTGTTATCAGCGTTTTATATTGAATGCTTCTTCTCCTTCTCCTTCAGCTGAGAGTCTTCAAGCTGGCGAAGTCGTGGCCGACGCTGAACACGCTCATAAAGATCATCGGGAACTCGGTGGGCGCTCTGGGGAACCTGACGCTGGTTCTGGCCATCATCGTCTTCATCTTCGCCGTGGTCGGCATGCAGCTGTTCGGGAAGAACTACGAGTCGTGCGTCTGCAAGATCTCCAGGGACTGTGTGCTGCCCCGCTGGCACATGAAGGACTTCTTCCACTCGTTCCTCATCGTTTTCCGGGTCTTGTGCGGAGAGTGGATCGAGACCATGTGGGACTGTATGGAAGTGGCGGGCCAGCCGCTCTGCATCCTGGTCTTCATGCTGGTCATGGTCATCGGGAACCTCGTGGTGAGTGCTGGAGCTCGTTTTATTCTCACTGGCTTCATGCTGCGGCTCAAAGCGCCTTTTTAAGAAAACGAGCTGAACCTTGTGGAAAGATATTGAGGTGTTTTTTATTGTCATTGGGTCTCAAAGCAGAGTTAAGTTTTTAAGTGAAAAAATCTGAAGAAATTATTGGTTAAAAACTAGTAATTTAGAGGTCTTTTTTTTTGTTGTCATTTTTAGTCATTTTGTTGGTTTTATTTTTATTAGTTTTTTATTGCTTTAAAATAAGTCTATATAGTTTTTTAATTCATTTTTAATTCAGTTTTAGTTTTTGTTATTATAGTAAAACAAGTTAAACTGTGAATGAAAATTAAAAATTAATTTTTTTTCAATTACATTTTTATTTCAGTTAACATTTATTTTATTGTTGTTAAATTATTTTATTTAATTATTTAATTATATATATATATATATATATAAATAATTTTGTATAAATTATACATTAATAATTTTATTCTATATACATAATTCAAATATTAAATTTTTATATATAATTTAAAAATGTTATCAGAATGAAATGATGTAAGGTTTACGTAAAAAAAATTATAAAATTAAATAAAAATAAATAAATGTATATAATCGTCATGGTCCAGGTCATTTTTGACCCGTGAGCGTGAGCGTTAAGGAAAGCATGCTGGCGGGTTTGTAATTGCGTGTTTATATTGGCTGTTGTTTGAAATGTCTCTTAACGCTCATGTCAGACATGTTTCATAAAGCACTGCTGCTAAAACCTGCGTTATTATTGCTAAGGGTCATATTTACACCGTCTCTGATTAACTCAGACCATTTACTCTGTTTGAAACTAGTCTGCGCTGATTAAACAGCGAAAAACACAAATTGATAAAGTAATTAAAATAATTTATTTTGATTTGGATGCATACCATCATAATTAATGGGTCATTACACCATGCATGCTTTAATTTGAAAGACCTGTGATGCATTTATTATTTAGTGGATGGTTTTTAATCAAAGTCTTCATGTGCACTAATGTCCCCTGGAGCATCTGCGGTGAATTGTTCGGCTCAGTGGCTCATGGGTAATTGATCTCAATAACTCGCTTGGTCCTGTGAAGCCCCAAATGTGAGATTGAGCCTGTAGTGTTTGTGTTTCCATCACAGATGCATTTTAAGCTGAAATGTGTGGCACCGAATAGAATTGCAAAAATAATGATTGTCTCCGAACAGGTTTCCAGCATTCAAAAGTTTGGGGTCGGTAATTTTAGGCTGCATTTATTGGACTAAAAATACAGTAAAAATGTGATATAGTTTTAGAATTTAAAATAACTGTTTTCTATGTGAATACATTGTGAAATGTAATTGATTTCTGTGATCAAAGCAGTATTTTCAGCATCATTACGCCAGCCTTCAGTGTCACATGATCCTTCAGAAATAATTCTAATATGCTGATTTGCTGCACTGATGTAATGTTACAAAATAGAAGTATTTTGTAACATTCTAAATGTTTCTACTGTCATTTTTGATCAATTTAATGCATCCTTGCTGAATAAGAGTATTTTTTAAAACAACAACTTTTGAACAGTAGTGTAATTTTTCTGTTTAAATCCAGATTTTCCCACAGAAAGTGTGAGTATCAACCCTGAGCTCAGTTGCAAACGCAAATCCTGTGAGATTTCTCCATCTAGACGGTGAGCACTACTGTAAAATAAGTGTGCAGATTGCATCTGGGCCTGTTTATGAGATATTGATATTACATAAGCGAGGGTTTGGTGCAGATGGAAGCGAATGCACACCGAGCGATTAACACATGCAAATGTGAGGCCGGGGGAATGGAGACGCCACGTGTCTGACGGTACGAGGGCTTTTCCGTGCTTCTGCCGATCGGAAAGAATCATCTCTGCTGCACTGACGAGCATTTCAGAAAGGCTGCGGATGTGTGGCGTCGCTCGAATATTGCGACCTGATCTTTCCTGCATGATTTCATTTGCATACGGCAGTTAAAGGTCAAATAGTTGTACCTTTGTTACTCCATTGATATTTTTAGATCATTCTGACTAGTCACTCAGAGACTGTGGAAGAATTTACAAGGGCCGGAGGGCGTGATGCATAGTATGTTGGGTAATATGTTTTAAATTTGCACCCAATGCATTTGAATTGCAAACACTGCGGTGGTTGATTTGATTACACTGAGCTCTGTTTTGAGTGCTGAACTCAAGATGCACATGGAGTTTTGAATCTGAGATCCAAATATAGTGAGCTACCTACCTAGGTGGTATTTTAAGGTATCATACATCAGTATTTTAAGGTGTTCTGTCTTTTTTGCAGAGACAACAGTCCCAGAATGCATTGTTACACGCTTAGTGAAAATAATACATGCAAGCAGGTGGACGAGAGAAATGCAGATTATATCCTTAATTCATTTAATTCTAAAAAGTATTGATAAAAAATAGATCAAAAATAGAAATGTACTGTTTATGCAGTATTTGTGTGCGCTGTGTGTTTTATGCTTATTAGATTAACACATTAGGCTATCGATTGAAATGACTCCATCTGTGTCTCTGTCCCTCGTGTCCAGCATTATTTGCTTTACTTCCCTCATTTATTTTAGCCTCTTATGACTATGAATTTCTTAATTTAATTATTTTATTTTATTATCATTTAATTTAATTTTAATTTAATTTAATTTAATTTTATTATCATTTTATTTTATTTTATTTTATTTTATTTTATTTTATTTTATTTTATTGGTACACTGAAAAAAATCTGGTGTAGAAAGAATTTTAAATTCCGAAATTGCGAGTAAATTTCACAGTTAATTACAAAGAAATGTCAAGTAATACATTGAATTAATTGTGAAATTTTAAAGTAGAAAGACTGAAATTGTATTTCTTGTAAAAAGTACTCCAATAATATGTACAACTTTAGAAAAATATTTTTTTACATTGTATACATAGTAGTTTTTATTGTAATAAATTATAATTTAATAATAATAATAATAATATAAACAATAATTTATCATTATAATTTGGAGTGCTTTGAATTCATGCTGATTTTAATGCATCCTGACTAGATAATTTTCAATACTATATAACAGTAATAAGCATGAGATTTTTAATGGGAATTTTGAGTGAAATTTTAATGTAGATAATGCCAAAATAATAAAATTCATGCAAATTCTTTAAGCAAATTCGTATGCATTGTAGTTTTTATTTAAATAAATTATAATTAAATAATAATTTATAATTATTCATACTGATTTTAAGGCATCTGGACAAGATCATTTTCAACACTGCATTATAGTAATTTAAATTTTTTTTCTCTTGAGAATTTTTGGGGAAATTTTCATGCAGATATTGTAAAAATAATAGTAATAATAAAAGGCACATTTTTCTTTATGTGAAACCTAATTTCTTACTTTTGCTTTTCTTTACGATGTTTTAAAAGCGATTAAAACGAGCTGGGTCTATAGTGTGCGGGTTGCATGTGTTTGTTCAGGGTTTTGAAATGCAACCATACCTGCTGTCTTAGCTGTTGTAATGTGAGAACGCTACTAAAACCCTCATAGATCTTCATTTGTAAGTGAATGAACGGCGCAAAGATCAAACACGGCTGAACTGCACCTGTAGTGCGTTAAATGTTTGTTCAAGCCTGATTATTCCTGTGTTGCTGACTTTTTTTCCTGTGTGTGTGTGTGTGTGTGTGTGTGTGTGTGTGTGTGTGTGTGTGTGTGTGTGTGTGTGTGAGTGTGTGAGTGAGTGTGTGTGTGTGAGTGTGTGTGTGTGTGTGTGGACACGCTGGGATCGATGCACCTGTGTGGATAATCAGAATTATTCAAAGCGCGGCCGGGTAACTGGAGAGCTGAAATTGATGTTATCAGATCTGGGTTGTGATGACAAATCCATAACTCTGATCTGAAACCCGCCGAGCTGCTGCGCTGTCCTGGAGCCTCACTGATGTAGAGCGCACTACTGAGGGAACAACACCAGAGTCTCGACTCACAATTGATTTCAATAGAGATTGACATTAGTATGTTGCAGTGCAATACTATAATAATCATAGCACACATGCAGCGTATACAAATATTGAATAAAATTGATAAGTGACCAGTAGAATGTACAATCTGCATTAAATTGATCAAAAGTGACAGTAAAGACATTTATAATGTTACAAAAGATTTCTTTTTCAAATAAATGCTGTTCTTTTGAACTTTCTATTAATCTGTGAATCCTGAAAAATAAAATATATCACGGTTTCCTCAAAAATATTGTGCAGCACGACTGTTTTCAACATTGATAATAATCAGAAATGTTTCTCGAGCAGCAGATCAGCATATTATACTGATTTCTGAAGATCATGTGACACTGAAGACTGGAGGAATGATGCTGAAAATACTGCTTTAAATAAATAAATAAATGACATTTTAACAGATATTCACATAGAAAACAGATATTTTAAATTGTAATAATATTTGACATTTTTTAACTGTATTTTAGATCAAATAAATGCAGTCCTGGTGAGCAGAAGAGACTCTTTCATAAGTTGATGCCTTTCATTGTTATTTTAGTATCACTGAGATACTATTATAGGTTTTGTTAATATTTTGAAATAATTTTATTTTTTATCTTTAATATTTCCTGTTTTCATTTTAATTTTTAGTTAAACATTTAGTTTTTTTTTTCATTTTTATAAGTTTTTTTTTACGCCTATATAGTTTTTATAAATTTTTATTTCAGTTGTAGTTTATTTATTTATTTATTATTTTATTATTCAATTTTAGTTTTACTTTTTTTAGTTCGCCAAGATGAACTACGTGGAAATGAGAAATGTTGCTGAAATAAGTTTCAGGTTTTTTTTATATTTCATTTGATTTCAGTTAGCATTTATTTTATCTCAAGTAATGAAAATGTTTTACAATTTAGTTTTAGTTGACTATAATAACCCTGAACTCTTTATTGACTTGCATTTTCGTTCTGTCAGCACTTTTCTTTAAATGTTGAAGAATTACTA